AGGGCTTAGGGTTTAGGGTGCAGGGGATCGGCTCGGAGGCGTAACCAATCCATGCGGGTTTCACTAAGCGGGGCCTGGGAGGGTTCGGGATGCAAGAAGACTGCCAATATCGTGCCACAGGGCCCCTTCGGGCCCAATACATCTGTTCGGATGGCATTAGATTACAGGTACGTTGAAAAGGGAACTCACGGAAAGATATTGCAAATTTGGCAGCTGCTTGTCGCATTCTACTAGGTCTGCGTGATGAGATTGGAACAACACTCCTTAGTGCTTGCCCACTCTCCGCAAACCTCAAACCCCAAACCCCAAACCCCACACCCTTAGCCTTGCGCCCCAGCCCCAAACCATCAACCCTAAACCATTTATAGAGGTCGAAGCAGGCATGGCCTCCCCACGAAAAAAGTCTCAGACGACCTCCCTCCCTTCAACCCTCCACCAGACCCGCTACGAATTGCTCCACCACGGACCGCCGGATGTCTCCCTTGTTACCTTTTTTCTTCCAGACATGCAGTCCGCACAGCTCCCAACTTCCCTTCTAGATCTCCTCCCCTCGCCTCTCCCCGCTCTCCCCTCCCTGCCCAGTCTCTTGTTTCTATAACAAACCCTGGGTATGTAGACTTTATACAACCCTCCAAGGCACGCTCCTCCAAAAACCATAAACGAAGAGGGCGGGGGAGCGCCCACGGGAACCCTTGAAGAAGCCTTTAAAGCGCCCTTACAGCAGCCCTGTCAACGGAAGCCCAGTTAACGGAGTGTCCTTGAGCCGGCCAGTGTCGTCCCAGGTGAAATGCTGGTTGGCAAAGCCGTGGCAAGGGTGCATGTACAAGTTCTTAGTGGTAAGCTCTTGTTTTGGCATTAGAGCTTGGGAATTAGGATGTGTATGTGTGTGTGTGTGTGCGTGTATGTCAAGACTCGCAGTCCATGACCTGCATGAGAGAAGCTTCTGACTCTAAACCCAAATCCCGACACCTAAACCCTGAACCCTATCTCAAACCCTAAACCCCA